GTAAATGTGAGTCTTATTTTCTTTTCATCTTTGAGATTTTTTACTTCAGTTGAACTCATTATTTACCACTTTTTTATGTTTTTAATGTAACACTTTTGTTTAGGATCTCTTTTCGCTTTATTTGGAAAAATGGTTTCTTATTTATTGCGTCTAGTCATTTAAAGTTCATTAAATATATATATATATATATTATATATATTTATTTTTTTTACATTAAATAGTATTAAATATTATTCCCGACTGCTAGTAGATTAATTTTTTGCTTTTGGGTTATATGGATTAGTCGGTTAATCAGCTAATCTTTACATTTTTGATTGTTTGCTCAATCCATCTTTTAGTCATTGTTCAAATTTCACACTTAATATTTAATTTAGTAATTGCAGCAGTAGTTTCCATTATCACACATTCTGATAAATTAAAAAAGAAAAAAAGTCAGGAATTTTAGATGAAAATAAAACTGTAATGTGTATTATATCAAGAGGAATGTCATTTGTTGGATTAGACGAAATTTTCCTTGCTTATTACTGTGATACGGAATTCTTCGAATTACCAATCGATTATCTATGGAGGGTGATGATTTTTCATACTTTCGTAATTGATATGCGTAGTGCAATATGAAATGAAAATGCATAAACAAAGTAAAATATTGAGTGCTGAATCAACGAGAGTGTAATGTTTGAGAATGATGACATCTCCATATTTCGATAATTGAATGGTTTAATTCTTTATAGATATACGAAATTTATCAGGATGCATTGTCCCCACGCAGTGAATCATCAGATGAAGAATTAGGAATACGTTTATCGCATAATCGTACTCCATCACTGAATCGAACAATCCGATTCTCAAATTCTGATAAACCGGTAGCACGCGATATACTTCTGTTTAGACCATCTGTTCAGGTTCTATCGTTGCTAGAATTCCTTCTTTTTTATTTTTGATGTTGAATTTTGCAATTTAATTATTGATCCGAACTATGCTTATCAATCTTTTAGGTATATAATGAAAACTTTTTGGTAACACACATTATAAGTTGTTGACATTTAAAGTATATTTGCTTATCAGAACTGTATCTTTTTTTTTTCTTTAATTGTAGATGGATTAGGATTTTAAAACAAGTTGTTTTAGACATTTGAAAATTTCTTAGTACCTTCTTCGTCATTTTTGGTTGCAACATTCATTTATCAGTGTGAGTCAATTTGGGCAACTGTGATACCACAACGACTGCTTTTTAGACTTGGTCTTCAAGCTTCATGTACGTCATTAGCAATGATTAGAATTCAATGATTTCATTTGATTCATTCAGATATAATTATTTATGAATCTTTTGATCATTCCTTCTAATCTTCAGTATTTCGGCCTATCACACATCCAATCTTTTTTTGGCTTGATTGAAACTTTATGATATATTTCTTATAACTCTTTTATTTTTGTTACTACGCAATTTCATAAATTAGTAAGATTGAATTTTATCGAAAACCATTCTTTCAAATTTTTGTAACTTTGTAGTTGGGAACTTGAGAAAACGAACCATTGTTGGACATTTTGTTAATACATACTTTGCCGTTGTTATTTCAGTTTACCCTACACCAATTATAAATGATTTGAACCGTGAACCGGTGTATAATTCAATATTTGATGCGAGTGTCTTGAAAATGTTCAATGATTTTCGAAATTGGCATTTTCAAATGCCTTTTATATTGGGTAGCACATTAACGGTACGAGATAACAGCGAGTCTATTCTAATTATTCCAACCTGGGCATTGGAAGAGGTTTGATTTATTTATCATTCAGCTCTTTTTATACTTTATTAGGTGTTTCTTGTCCAGCATTCTTTTTTTTGTACCATATAAAAAAAAATTACTCGAGAGAGATTCATACAAAAAAATCTCTATGTAGTTTAGATGACCACGTTGTTTTTGGGTAATATACTAACAATTGTTTCTTGTCTTTGCTATTTTTCTCCACATATGGTATTAACATAGGAAGTTTTTAAACTTATTGAGGTATTAATTTAGTTTTATTATTATTACTCGAGAGAGAGAGAGTGACTGGATATCGAACACTTGAAAATAGCAAATTGTGAAATAGCTCAAATATTAAGCACTTACTGTCTAATAAAGTGTGCAAGATTTTTGTAGGACTAGTCATTTATTAAATAATTTTCAGGTAATCAAGTTGATCAAAGGAAATAAAAATATGGTTGCATGGTGTCTTGATTTTAGTCCTGATGCTGATAGTTATCTTGTCTGCAAGCAAGATAATGCCGGTTGTTTCAACTCACAAATTTTCAGAAATGGCATCGGAAATCGAAAAGGTATTTGAAAGTTGCTTCATTTTTCCTCTAACTCTATAAATAACACATATTGCAGTAACTGGTGCTTCCTTTATTGTTATTGATGGAGCTTTGAAGGATGGTGGAGAACCACTTTCAGTGAATGTTTTAGAAGTAAGTTCATCTAATATGTTTTAGTTAATTAGTTAAATAGTTCAATTAAGGATTATCACTTATTTAGCAAGTTCTTGTTAAGTCTTTGTCTTGAACAATGTGACTTACAATTTACAGAATTAAACTTGTCTCTCTAATATGATCTTTAAATTTCACATCGTTTGGCTGCTCTAAAACCATTGCATAGCAAATATTTTGAATTTCCATCACTTATTCAAAATTCTTTTCATTTGCATTATCATCTTGCTCCTTGAATTAAATTTGTTTAAAGTAATTTTTTGAGGATGGTATGACAGTTCGTTTTCGATCGGATATAATGGAATCACTTATTGAAGCACTCTTGGTCGGGCAGGATTTTGAGCATGATTCACCGGCAATGAAATTTTCAGTGAAGTGGGATAATGATTCATACAGACAGCAGCCTATTGGTGGATTAATATCTCCAATTGATAATCGTTCATTAATTGTTTGTTGCTCTAATTTATTCAGCATATTATTATAATTTCATTTTTTAATATTTAATAGGTGTTTTAATTATTAATATTTGTACTACTCTAATACTTTAATATTAGTACAACAGGCATACTACATAGCATATTTTTTTGACGAACGTTTCTCTTAGAAAACATCTATCCGATATGTTTATCATGGCAAAAAAAAAAAAAATTGTTGAGTTATTACAGTGATAATATTTTATCTTGTATTTATTGAGATTTTCAGAAACTTTTGAGCTAAATAGTTATAGGGTTGTTATCAGTATGGTTTAAAAAAATCAAGAATTTTGCGATCATCACATCCAATACCGAATCAAATGTATTGGTCCCTTAGATTGGTCAGTGTGTACAATGTTGCAAAAGGTCGCTTCATCCAACGTGTCCAGTCAAAAGTTTTCAGTGTTAGTGAACAAGTTGTTGCGCAAATTGCAACAACATTAGCACCTTTCGCCACTGCTCTCATAGAAAATGATTTGAGGTTTTTATTTTGTTTTTCTTTCAGTTCTATTTCGGTTCTTGCAAAGATTAACAACATTCAATAAGTCGTAAGTACTGTCTAATAGTTTTGCAAAAGCTAGATTTGAATATTTATTTCATCGCACTGAGAATTAATGATAATAGTTGATTATATCTCGTTAATCAAAAATAGCAAGACAATCTTGAAAGCTTCAAATGAATGAAAATGAAACAGGAGGACATTGTCCTGTCCCCCTTATAAATTAATGAAGTCAAGGATCTTAATAATGAATGATGAAAATTAGTGGAATGGTTGAACTGATTGCGCAAGTTGCTGAACGATTATGGTATTTTATTAGTGAATGATACGATCCATAAAATGATCGAAACGGTTACATCATTAATAGATTGAATACTGTTTTTTTTTTTTTTTTTTCTTTCATAATTTTTTTTCAGGCATATCTTCTTTCGTATTCGTGTTACTACAGAAGATGCTGAATATAAGACACAACCTTGGCCTGGTATGCAAAAAGAATTTGCTGCATGGTTAGATTTCCTGGATTATCAGGTTTGTATTGATAATTAATTACAATTGTTACTAGCAAGTTAGTATTTCCATTATTTTAATAACATATATTAATTAAACTGATGAGCTATAGGAATATTTTTAAAGTTCAAATCATATTTTCTAAACATTGATGTTTATTTTCTCCCACGATGTTAATTATGCATTTATATTTACAGGTAGCACCAGGATTATTCACCGTTTGTTCATATGTAACACTTGGATTTCATGCTGAACTTCATATGGCTTTGATTTCTGTTCGGCCAAACCCATAATATTTGTACTTTTCTTTCAGCTCTGCTTGTATTATTATTCGATAGGTAACTGTGTAAGCAAATATCTATATTACTGAATAAATTATGTTGATGGTGATGTCGCTATGAGTAAATAGCTAGTTTGTCTCAAAAACTAGTTAAATTCCTGACAATTTTTGAAATTAATTAATTAGTTTCCGGTTCTAATTTACATTTCTTTCTCAAGATTTACTTGTTTGTTAATTTGTTTATTTTTCCCTTTCCTATTAATATGTATAGGTGACGATTGATTCAGAAATACAGAAATGGGTGATCTTTGCTGTTAGCTGTACAGTTTCATATCTAATTTTTCTTCTTTATTCATTCCTTGTTTATTATCATTTTTTTTTTCTGTGCATTATTATAATATGTATAATATCCTTTCCTGAAATATGCAAGATATTACTCAGTGAGAATTATTTCACTTGTGATTTCTTGTGTTATTGCATTGATTCATTCTAAATTTTTGACATTTATCCAAAATAAAAACTCAATAATCTAATATTTTCTCTCTAAATATTATATTAAGCTTTCTACAACAAAAAAAAAAGATTTTTTTTTTTCTTTTAACAAATTATTTGAAACAAGCAAAACACAATTGTCATTTCTTTTTATATTCTGCAATGGTTGATGTTATGTGAATGTGTGAATGTGAAAAATTTTTGAAATTGATTTCTTTTTTATCAATTATACCGGATTATCTTGTCAATGAATCACAGCTATACTAATTTGAACAAAAATGATCATCGATTATGCTTGAACATCTCATTTGAGCATTCCACTTGCTCACAAGGTGGGTAATCATAATTATTATTCAATTCATTGCATTTCCACATATTACCCCAATGAGCAAATATTAAACGACATGGTAGTTGTTCAGGCATTACAGAATGATGCGTTACAAGCATAGGTATTGATTGGAAATATTTGTTTGAACCCTGTAAATTTGAAATTTAAAAAAGAAAAGTTTGAATAGTTTACTTTTTTTGAACATTTTTTCTAAAGCTATTTGAGTTTTTTTTTTTTTTTTTTTAACGGTTCAAGATTAATCATAAAAAAGACCGGTTTTTTTTTTTTTCTCTTTTTTTTTTATGATTCAGGATTAAATGATTTCTTGAAAATATAAAAGATAAAAAAAAAAGACCCTTAATTTAAATCCATTATCATTTCGAATGATAAGATAATGTGATACACCAGTTGGATTATGTCGAAATGGCACTCGAACACTTAATGCCAAACATTTTCGTTTTGATTCAGAAAATCGAACAACAAATGCACCTTCCGGTTGCTCTAATAAAGCATCTATAATTCGATTCCTATAATCAAATAAATTGTAATATTTTCCTGAAATTCAAAATTTTTGGATTCATTTCAAAAACATTCATCATAATAGCAGTGAGAGAATGACAGATGTTTTCAAGATATTATTGTGTCAATTATTGATTGTATTATGATTTAATCAAAGTAATAATTGGTTAATTAAAGTAATTATTATATATCGGCGAAAAAAGAAAATCATTGATTCATATGATTTATTGTCATTCTAAATTACTTTAATTAATAATTTGATTACATTTTCACTAATTCAGTTCATTTACTAAAAAACTTTCATTTATAATACATTTATTTATTTATTTATTTATTTATTATTTAATTATTGTTAATTATTATTGAATGTAAAATGTATAGGAATTTTTGATTACTTGTAAAAGTAAAGTAATTAATCTGCATGAATTGTAAAATTTCATTAATTGCTAATTAGATGAGATAATTAATTAATTAATTAATTATTGCATTGTTTGCATCATAATAACACGCTACACTAACCGATGTGCTGTTTTACAGAAATATGCGACCTGTTCCAATTGTTTCTCCAATATTTCATCAATTGGATAAATCCATTCTGTCCTGGAAAAAAATTTTTTTTTAAACATTTAAAAAAAATTAAAACAAATTAGAAATTTTCTTTCTTTTTTTTTTTTCTTTTCAAAATTATTGTTTTATTCGTCGAAATTATTAATTGTAATATTTTGGAAAATTTTAAAGTAAAAACTTGACAATATTTTGTTTGTTTATAAAAATTTCTTTAATAATTTGTTATTATAATAGTAAAATAGATATGACTGTTGAGGAGAAGATTTTTTTTTTAAAATTTCATTTAAAGCAAATTTTTAAAATTTCAAAATATGTTGATTGAAAAAAAAAAAAAAAAGCACGATGAAATTCTACCTTCTATATGTTTTCATAATTTGTTGACAATAAAAAAAAAAATTCTAATATTTTTTTCAGCGTCATTTCTCTTAACATTTTCCATATTTAAATTTTTCATTGTAAATTAATTAGTGGAAAATTTTTTTTTAGAAATATAATCCATTTTGTTAGTTATTTATTTCAATTATTTAATATACACTTTGATTAAACATTAAAATTTTGGAGTTAACAAAATTTGAAAATATATCTCAAAAATTTCTTATCCAATCGTTTATTTCTAGTTTTTCTTTTAAAAAAAACAAAAGTATTACTTACAAACGTTCATCATAACATAATGATAAAGTTGTTTGAGTGTGACGAATTGGACGAAATACCTCTTCTTGTGTATGCTAGAAAAAAAAAAAAATTAGAAAAAGAAATTGTAAAATTTTTTTTTTAACATAAAATTTTCAAAAATTTTTCTTGTTATCCTAATTTAAACTAATAAATTTTATTCTAAAAATGCAAAATACAAAAAAAAAAAAAAAAAAAAATAAAATGAAAAAATTTGCCAAAAAAAAAAAAGAAAAATAATTATTACAAAATAAATAATATCTAAATATACATATATCTATTTGTATGGCAATTTTTTTTTCATAATTAAAAAAAAAAAAAAGTTAAATAATTAATTTAAATTATAAATTACTGGTGTGGAAGTTTGTGGTGTAAAAATGTGTTGTTGTAAGTTAGCTGAACGACGATGATGTGATTTTGTGTTGGTGACAGCGGTAACAGATGTCGAAGATGATGGTTGACAAATTGATACAGGCCTTTCTAGCTTTCGTGGTGTATCGGTTGATGAGAACTTAAAATTCATTTAATTTAAATTATATCTTTTTTGTTTTTAAATTTTATTATTATTTTTTTAAATCATATATTAATCAATGTATTACTAAATTTCTCATCTAAAAAAAAAAAAAAAAAAAAAATATAAAACAGATAATTACAACTTGAAATAATAATTTTATTTGTGTTTCTTTTTTAATTTTTTGTAAAAATATAATTTGTAAAAGTTAAAAATTAATTGATATAAAAATATTTAGTCTTTTGTTTAAATTTTTCTTTTTTTTTAGTTGCAGTAATTATTTTTAGAATGAATAATTTCATAAATTAATCTGAAACTGCTAAATATTATACAATATATTAAGGAAAGTTAAACAAATAATATTAAATTTCGTTTAATAGTTTAAATTTTTAGATGTAAAAAGTTAATTTGTATAAGTTAAAATTTAATTGATATGAAATTATTTACACTTTTGCTTAATTTTTCTAATGATTAAATGGATAAAATAATAAATGTTATAAATTTGCAATTCATGTATTTATATTCGTTTTTTTTTTTTTTTTTTTTCAATAAATAAAATGAAATGATCTTAATGGATCAATTAATAAATCAAATTTTCAATAAAATTTGAAACTTTCAAATTAATTTTGACATTTCACTAATAAAAATCATGCGGTATTAATCATTCTATTATCAGGAAATTATTCTTTTTTTTGAAGTATTAAATGATCAATCATTATTGGTCATAAATAACGGTTAAATAAGTAATGCAAAATTTAAAATTCATTAATTCTATGATTATCAATCATAGCTATCACTTATCATAAATATGTCATAATTTTAAAATGTTTCAAATGATTTGTAAAATTTAAAACAAATATGAAAGACACTTTCTCTCACAATGATAGTTTTATGAATACACTATGAATATAGCAAGTAAATCTTAATTAGAAGTAATAAATAAATAATTTTCACAATAAATTAAATTAAATTTTGATGTAACTAAGTAAAAAATAAATAAAATTTCAAGATAATTATTTTAAATTTAAAAATTTTCCTTCCAATCAATTACTTATTATTTCCTTCTTTTTATACTGTAAAGTAAATTTATTCAAATTTAAAAAAAAAAAAAAATTGTTTTATATAATAATTTTCATAAATTGTAGGAAAATTTTTAAAGAAGTAGTAAAATAGATTTTAGGCAAAAGATAAAACTCATAGAGAAATTAAATTATGTTAAGAATAAATATTGACATTTATACAATTAGCGCCCATTTGTTAATTACAAATAGCGCATGAATTAAAGGAAATGAAATTGTTATTTATCTTCATTAAGATATAATAATAAATTATAGACAAGAAAAACAATGATGTATTAAGATATTTTTTGGGAAATTTAAAATATTTACAAAATTTGCTAACTTTTATAATTTTGGTTAAGGCAAAAAAAAAAGTGAAAAGTTTGTGGGAATTATCTCTGATAGATATAATTAGCAGAATAATTAGTAAATTATAATCGAATAACAATAATTGTTTAAATTAGATTCAAGTGATGATAATCAAATAATAATAATAAATTATGATCAAATAATAATAATGATAAATAATGATTAATCCATTAAATAATAAAGAACCGATTTCTTTTTGTTTTTTGCTTCAATTTCCATTATTTAAATTCTGATTTGCAAAATTTAGAATTAATAGTTAAAATTGCTTGTTTTGTTTATTACATAAACATAAAATTAAAGGAAAATCTTTTCATTTACATGGAACTAATTAAATTTTAAAATCTTATCATGCCAATTATCAAGATCAAATTAAAATCTTATCACTGCTTAAGAATAATAAGTATTTGAGTAAACCATTCTATTTCATTAATATTAATGCAATGTAAAGTAATGAATTCTTCTTAATACTTCGATTCTTATTTGATCAGTAATTATTCCATCGTTATTGAATTAGTAAATATTACTTATTATTTGATCATTAGTGATTCCAATTTATTAAATTTTAAATTTAAGTGAAACCACTATATTCTATTGTCGTAATTTTCCCTAAAATTTCGTATGTTTCATTTTTATTTCTCTCGATATATCCTCTTATCATCACTATCATTAGTAATAACTGGCAATATTTATTATTTATATCATTGTCATCAGTATATCTTATTTATTTATTTTGTTATATCACTATTATAAACAATCAAATTATCAATTGTCATTATTTGTATCACTATCACAATATTTATATCACTATCATAAGCAAATCATTTATCATTTGATATCGTTACTGTTGATTTAATTAAAAAAAAAATATATATATATATATCGCAAAAATGCGATTAACAAGTATTATTATTAACAAATAACAATATTATTATTATTATTATTATCAGTTATCATTTCCAGCTTATCAGTTCCGATTTCTCGAAAAAAGAATTTAATTAAAAAAAAAACAATTAAAATACCCGTTTGTTGTAAATTGAAGCAGATGAAAGTCGATGTAATGCTTGACTGAATACAGCACTAACTGGTCGTCGACGTTGCTTATTATTACTCTTTGTTGTTGTTGTTGTTGTTGTTGTTGTTGTTGTGGCATTTTCCTTATTGTTTGAGCTAATATCAGTTCGAGATTTACCGAAAAGACGATTGAGAAGAACGGATGATGTTATATGCAATTTACATTGTTCAATTGTAGATGGATGATTAGTAGCAGCAGATGATAATGTTGGAGTATTTGTTGATAAGCGATGTTGTTGATGTATTGTTGTAGCAGTTATTGGTGTAGCAAAATGTGATGAAGATAATTTTGCTGAATTTATAAGTGGTGATGATGGTTTAATAAGTGCTGATGCTTGAAAAGCATTCTCAAGAATAGATTCTATTTCTTCCACCTGAAAATTTTTACAATTTATTTAAAAAAAAAACGAAAAAAATTTTTAACTATATAAAAAAAGAAAAATAAATTTGCTATGAAAAATGCTATGATTATTCCATGCAAATATAAATAATAAAAAGATTTTTTAAATTAATTCATAAATTTTTGCTTCAAATTTAAAAAAAAAAAAATAAATAAACAAATTAGTTTGTAAAATTTTTGAAAGAAAACTTATTTTAATTATAATATTTACTTATATAATAATAATAATAGACTTTAATTTCTGTCATTTTTTTCTTCACTTTTTTTCTTTTGAATTATATAACAAAAAATATTGAAATATTATAAATTGATTTCATTTTACAACATTCAGTTAATTCTTTTTTAACATTCTTTAATATTTAATTATCATAAATTTAATTTAATAGCTGTGTAGTGAATTTTTAATATCGTTGAAATTCTTGAAAATATTTATATGAGAGTAGAAAATAAGAGTAAAAGGTACGTTTCATACTTTTTACTTTTATTTTTACTATATTCTTCAGAACTGTTCGGAAAATAATATTTACATTAAGCTATTTGTTTCAGCATGTTTATTGTTGTAAACCCTTTAGAAATTGTTTACACGAAATCACTTCCTTATTTAGTTGACCTCATTGTTTGTTTCGTTACTAATTGTAAATTATCCTTGAATCTATGAGGCTAACAACTTCCGTTTAACTGACCTCCTTTGAGACTTATCAACTAGTAATTAGATTTGATTGTAAATCAGGTCAATAGCTCTTTGTTAGATTAATTTCCCTTTCGGCAGGTCAACTTCTTGTTGTAAATCATATGTATTGCTTATGCTACACAAGGAGGTCATTCATGTTCAGTGGTATTGAGTTTTGTTCAAGAAAATGAGGAGAGTTCAACCAGGAGACAGAGTTTTGCCCAAGAATGAGGTGAGTTCAACCAGGAGACAGAGTTTTGCCCAAGAATTAGGAGAGTTCAACCAGGAGACAGAGTTTTGCCCAAGAATGAGGTGAGTTCAACCAGGAGACAGAGTTTTGCCCAAGAATGAGGAGAGTTCAACCAGGAGACAGAGTTTTATCAGTAGACAGTTATCACAAAGAGGGATTTCCATTATTTGTGCATCAATTTTTTTTAAATATATATAAGATTTTTTTTTATAAAGTTTTTTTTTTTGAATAATATTTATTGTATTATTGTTTCTGTTGATATTATATTTCTCTGTTATCCCATATATTAGCATTTACATCCAATAAATCTCCCCAAGAACATTAAGTAAATCTTTTCCAAAATAATAAAAGCATCTATAAACCGAATTTGATTAAAATTTAAATAATATTACATTTGATTTTGAGATTCAAAAAGAAAAAGTTAAATAAAAATGGTAAATTTTGGAGGTTAAAGAGGGGAAAGAAGATAGAATTTTAAGCATATGTAAACAAACAAAGCAAAATTAGGAAGAATTTTCTTTAGAAGTTTGACGCAAATAACAATCGAATACAAATGGATGATGTTTTATGTAAACAGTTGTTTAAAGATATATACCCTCTCTCCTCTCTCTCTCTCTCTCTCTCTCTCTCTCTCTCTCTCTCTCTCTCTCTCTCTATCTCCCTGTTCTATCCTTTGTTTTATCCTTTCTAATCGTTTTGCTTTCTCAGACTCATAAATTTGCAAGGTTAAAGTTCAATCATCTTCTTTGGCATATTTTTTTTTGATAATTTTTATTACACATTTATTTTTGCTATTGCTCAGAAATTATTTTATAAATTTGTAAGGTTAAAATTTAACCAGCAAAATAAAAAAAGAAATTATTTTTCCTTTTAATTCTTAAAATTTAAATTTTTATATCTGTTATTATTACAGACATAAATATCGAATTAAATTATTGATTTGAAAAAAAAAAAAGCACCGATTTATCTCGTTTAATAAACTTTTGTAATTTTTGAATGCGGAATATAATATGTAATATTTGATAAAGATATATTAAATATATCATGAAAAATATAAATATTGATTAAAACAAAAAATATAAATACTGATTAACATAAAAATATAATACTAATGACATAAAAATAAATACTGATTAACACAAATATAAATACTGATTAACATAAAAATATAAATACTAATTGACATAAAAATTATAAATACTGATTAACATAAATATAAATACTGATTAACATAAAAATATAAATACTAATTGACATAAAAATTATAAATACTGATTAACATAAAAAACATAAATTGCTGATTGACATAAAAAATATAAATATTGATTAACACCAAAATATAAATACTAAAAACATAAATACTGATTCATAAAAAAATACAAATACTGATTTATGATACTGATTAACTTATAACAGAACTGTAATACAATTTTAATTTATTCCAGCAATTTTTAATTCCAATATTGACCTGGCAATAGTGAAATACTAATTAATAAATAAATAAATTCCATATAATATTAGCAGTAAATCATAAATGACAGATGCTAACATTTTTAAGCATTGTTAGCTTAAATTGCTCATTTAATTTTTTTTTTTTTTTTTGCAAAATGAAAGATAGTAATAAACAAAATAATTTTAAATGGTTTCAATCTGTTATAGTATTTATTGCTCATATACAAATAGATTAATTAATTATTTCCAATTCAATAATTTCATCAATTTATCAAATAATGAATGTATGATTTATGTTTAGCAATTTCCTTCATAATTCTATTAAGCAATAAATTAACGAAGCTTAAAATTTTCAAAATACTTTTTTTCCAAAAATAATTTATTACACTCATTAAACGGAAGGAATAATTAATTAATACAATGATAAAATATATGATATTTTTTACTTTTTTTTCTTTCAATAATTACATTAAAAAAAAAAAAAAAAAAAATTATGCTAAAAAATTTTAATTTACATAATATATATAATAGATAAAAAAAAGTGCTTAAGAAAAGTTAATTTAATAAAAATTTATTTTTTATTCATATACTACCAGTTAATATAACTTAAATAATAAAAGTACCATTTAATATAACTCAAATATTTTGAATACCAATTTCTTTATTAATCTATTAATGTCCAATTTAATTTCATTTACTTCATGTAAAATTTGCTTTTTTTTCTCACTTCAATTATATAAATTAAATTTTTTCTTTTTCACATATAAATTATACAAATTAAAAACTTGTGGATGAATTGAAAATTTTAAAATTTTATGAAAATGGAGAAAAAAAAAAAGAAGAACGGTAAAGAACCGAAAGATTATTACTACCTGATGTGATGATTTAGTCCTAAACAGGTGACACAATCTTCTGTACACTTGACCCGATGGTTCTCGAGCAATATATGCCACCTCATGTCGTTCTGTTCGACCAATTACACAATTTACTCGTCGAATTGATTGACAAAATAATATTCGCTAAAAAATAAAAACATTTCAAATTTATTTATTAATAATAATTTACCTTTATCATTTTTATTTATTGCTTTTTTGATTAAATAATTAATTAACTAATTTCTTTCTTCATTTATTTAATTTATTCATTAACAATTTCAAAATCTAAAAACATTTTATCGAAACTATTACCTCTCTCTTTCTCTCTCTCTCTCTCTCTTAATTAGATTTATTTCTTATTTATTTTGTTGTTTGTTTAAAATATTTGTACATATTTGATAAGTAATTTGATTCTTTATTTATTCATATACTTCAAACAAATAATTTGTTTTTCATTTCAAATATTTTGTTAATTTATTTGTTTAATATTAATATTTCATTAAATTTCTTTCTTTCTTTCCTTCCTTCTCTTATTTTCCATTCTTTTATTGTTTATTGCTTAATTGTTTATTCTTTTATTGTTTATTGCTTAAGCATTTATTGCACTACAAAAAGTAAATAAATCATTTGTAAAATGTTGCAAGTATCTATTTGTCCTTTGCAATTGTCCTTCGTTTCTTTTTTTTACGATCGTCGGACCAAAAATACCAAAGAAACTACGAACGAATAATTTTTGAAATTTTACAATCAAAAATTCTTTTCTAATTTTTCATTCAATTATTTTAATTTTTTCCCTTTCTTTTCTTCATCTAAACAACCTTTTTTTCCTCCTATCCAATTATAAAATTAGAAATAAAAATTAATTTCATTTAATAAAAATAACAATTTCAAATTTTTAAATATTACTAAAAATGCTGAATGTATATTAATGTGAATAACAAATATTATCAATGTGAAATAATAAATAAACAAAAAAAAACACAAAAAATAAAAGTTTTTACTTTTAATTTTATTAAAATTAAAAAATTTTCATAAATATATTTTATTTATTAAAATATCAATAAAAATTATGCATTTTTTGAGTAAAAATAAAATTTTTAAATAACAAAAAAAAAAAAAATGAATTAATATTGATTTAATAGTTTAAAATTATTTATAATGATTTATATATATATATTATTTATGTTTATGAAATTAAATTGGATTATCAAAAATTTTTGCTTAACTATCGGTGACAGTTAGCTAATGTTAGATAAATAAAACTTTATGAAAAAGTTAAGTGAATTCTATCTAATTCAAATCAATAACAGTGCTATCAGTGGATCAATTTAATGAAATAATAAATTATTTGATACAATGTGATCAATCGATTGATCTCAATTTTGATTGATCCTGAATTACTGATCTCTTTACTTACAGTTTTACTAAATAAGATATAATCTTTCTAAAAATTTTTAATTTTATACTGTTCACTTTTATTTTTAAGAGATGATAGTATAATTTAAATTTAAGTTGTAATTTAAATTTGCAATATGTATGTAAAACCAAATTTTTATGATAGCAAAATAACTTTATAATATTTAAAGTTATGCAACTTGTGAAAATAGAAGTAATGTAATTTTTAAATTTTGAGTATTATATGTAAAAATTAAATTTTAACTTGGATGGATGCATAAATTAGATTTTGTAATTATTAATATGTATATTTAAAAATTGAATACAACAATTAATTTTAAAAAAAAGATCCAAAAAAAAATATTTAAACTTCGATTCTTTATTTTTTTTTTTTTTTTTGTTTCCAAAATTAGAAAGGTTATCACTTTTTTTTTTGAGTTTAAAACAGATAAAAATGAAAAATTAAATTCCATTTCAATTTATAATAGTATAAAAATTCTAGTTTATTGCATGAAAAAGTTTATAATTTTAGAAATATTTTTCTAAAATGTTTGATATAACAATTTTAAATTGAAACTAATAAATTCCAATCTTAAAAATTCATTCATTTAAAAAATAATTTATGCTTATGGCTAAGAATGAAAAAAAATATATATAAAAAAAAAAGATTGGAGGTATTCATATTTAAATTATTTGGATTAAAAACTATCAGTCATACCTATTTCAAAAAAAAAAAAAAAAATAGAAATATGCAAATTTAAATATTTGTAGTAATAATAAGCAAAATGAAAATGCGTATGTAAAATTATTATTAATTTGTATACAATTATTATTTTGATTTATAATTATTAATTTATATAATCATTAATTTGATTTAAAAATAGAAAATAAATGAATAAATAAAATTCAATTCTTCTTAAATCATATCGATCATTTAATTTTGAATTTTTGAAATTAAAATAGTTGAGGGTATGAAAACAAACGATAATTTAAATTTCCTCAAAATTAAACCAGAATTAAACCAAAAATATGACCTAGAAATTATCAAATCATTATTGAAATATGTTAAAAATAATCGAATTGAAATGAAATTTTGCTCAAAATATTTAATTCTAATTTTATAAAAAATTTTTCATACACAAATATTAAATAATATTTTCGAAAATGAAAATTCATTTAATGTGTAAATGAGAAAGAAAGAAAGAAAGAAAAAAAAAAAAAAAAGAATTCGTCATGATAAATTACAATAAAGTTAAATTCCACTTTAAATTTATTACGCTAAATAATATGAAATGGCAGAAAAAAAAAAAAAAAAAAAAGGTACCATTAATTGTCACATTTCTGTCCTTCAAAAATTTGAAAAGGAAAATTTGTCAATTGATGGTGACAATTTCATTTCATTATCAATAATGCAATTAACATATTAATGTTATATAAATTGCTATTAATGAAAATTTTAGTTTGATTTATGAAAAAAAAAAAAAAAAAAAAAGAGTAACATCAAAAGAACCGCTTTGAAACATTATTTATTCACAAATACATATTTACTTTCTTTCTATCTCTCTCTCTCTCTCTCTCTCTCTCTCTCTCTCTCTCTCCCTTTTCCTTTGTATAGTTTAAATGTATGAGAAAATACAAATTGAACAGTTGCTGCTAATAAAATTAGTAAAATATTTTGATTGCTAATATCACAATTTTTTTTTTTTTTTTGTTTTTTTTTTCTTGGATTTAAAATTTTTTACAATTATTTTGTTAATTTTTTATTTGTTCATTAATGTAATTTGAAGTAATATAAAATTACACCAAAAAAGCAAATAATTTAAGTTTAATTAAGTTTTAATTAACAGATTAATTTAATTGACTAAAAAATATTGCTTTTTGAATTTTTATGACAATTTAAAAATACTTAAATTTTAAAAATAATTTAAAAATAGCTTGTGGAGAAGTAAATTTCAGAAATAATAGATAAATTTTAGGTCACTGATGATAAATCTTAAATTAAAATTTTTTATCGTTTTGAAAATACAAAAATATAATGTTATTTAATACTTAAATATTATCAAAATTAAAAAATTCATTACCTTTTTCTCATATTTGCAACAAATATTTAAAATTTATCAAATTTTATGATTTAGTTTAAAAGTTTTCAAAATGAAAAATTTTAAATTTTTAATTCTATTGCATATTACTATTATCATCAAACATCAAAAATATTCTTAACAATAAAAAATTTTTTTTTTAATTTAAGTTTAATATTATATTACTTACTAAAATGTATTTTTGAAATTAAAATTTATTTTTTTGTTAAAATTCGCAATGATTCAATAAAAATATATGTTTTTTTTTTTTTAATTATTGCAAAATATTTGACAACAAAATTTAATTTAATTCATTTCAATATATTAATTAAAAAAAAAATATAATACAAATAATTTTAATTACTAGAATAACAATAAGTGTTTATATTTTCAATAAGTATTAAATTTCAAATACAACAATTAAGTATTCATGTTTTATAAATTTGATAAATTGGAAAAATATGAAATTATCTTAGAATGCTTATTATTAGCTTATATAAAGTATTTATTATAATATATAGTAGAAATATTATAAATATCGATCATTGATTACTTATTATTTATTTATTATTTTCATTTCCGATATTGAGTAAAAATTTTTCCGATATTTGTTGCTCGTAACAAATAATCTAAATGATATTTGCAAAAATTTCATTCTTTTAATTCTTAATTTTTAATTTAAAACAAAATAACTTTGCTGTTTTTTTTTTTTTTTCAGGATTAAATAATAATATTTTCATTTACAATTAATTATATCGCATATTTATCAATTAATTAATAATTCATTTTTTTTTTTTTTAATTTGACGAGGAGAAAATTAAAATTCAAAAAAAAAAAAAAAAAAAAAGAAAGAAATATTCTCATTTGTGTACAACGAAATTGAGAGAAAAAAAAAAAATGAATAATGATGACAAAGGGAATTATATAAATTTCCTTTCTCTTTCTAAATTTTTTTTTTTTTTTTTTTTGAAAAGAAATGAAAGAAAGGAAAATGTCAAAATTAAAAATCAAAATTAAATTTATTTTTTGCGCAAAAATAATTCCTTCCCGCCTTTTCTTTTCTTTTTTTTTTTATTTAATTCAACCAAATCATACACTATTTGAAATTGTAGGAAGAAAAAAAAAAAAAAAAAAAAGAGGAAAAAATTCTTTTTCAATAATAATAGGAAATGAATAAAATTAGAAATTAATACTTAAGTATCATTAAATTTTTTTCTTTTATTTTTTTGTAAAATTGAAATTGAAGAAAAAAAAAAGAAAATTAAAGTTTATTATTATAAAATTCTTAAAAAGAATGTAAATTTATGAAGAAATTAATTATTCCAAATGACATTATTATAAAAATAATATATTCTCATTTATGTAAATAATTTTAAATAATTTTTTAAATAAAATAACAAAAGTTACTTTTTCTTTATTTTTTTTTTTTAACTTTAATTACTTTGAACTTTTAAGTTTATCTTGAATTTAAGTCATAGGAATACTTTCTGATAAAGTATGATCATAGTTTAATTTACTGTACTACGATAATTTAAAGTATATTAAGTAAAAGTTAACAGTGTAATGTAATTTTGATTCAATGAAAACAAAAATGCTTCTTCAGTCAAAAACTTTTCTAATGAATGATATGACAGGGTGACATAAAGTTCATCATTACGATGATAATATAAAAATGACCAAATGATCAAGTGACCAAATGACCATTACCCACACTGTTCCTCTTCTTTTTCGGCTTTATCAAAAAGACTTTGATTCAATCAACGATACATTTTCGCCAAATGGCGCAATCAGTCCTAAATCATTGCTGTATATTATATAATACAAAGGTTCTTCCGCCATTTTTTATACACTTTTTTTGCCTCCAAAATATTATAAAATTTTTGTGCTACCATTTGCGCATTTAATGTAATGAATAAATTGTTAAAACTATCATAATACTTTGCAACTATTTCTTGAAATATTTTACCGGAGAGAGCAAAAAAAAAAAAGGAATCCGGAAAAAAATTTGAATATTGATTAAGTCAATAGTCATTCAGTAATGAAAATGAAAATATCATCATATTGTTTTTAAAAAAAAAAAAAAAAATTAAAGAAATTTAAAGTTATCTTACTTTTAATATAAGAAGATTAAATTAATTAGTTAAATTAAGATTAAATGTTAGCATTATGATAAAGATTGATTAAGGTAACATTGAATTTGATATGAAATGAGGAGAAAAAAAAAACAAAAAAGTGACTAATTAGTTTTAAATAAAAATTTTAAATTAATAAATTTATTTTTGTAAATTATGAAAATTCGATGTCTGACGATGATTTGTTTGCAAAATTTGCAAAATTCAAAATTAATTGTTGGAAATTTTGCAGTAACTTCGAGAGAAATCAATAAAAATTGTTTGATTATTAAAGGAGTAACTAAAACCATAAATGAATTCTATTATATTTTGAAAGTTTAAGGAGAAATTTTAACAAATTACTGCAAGTTTAAACTCTTTGAAATTACATTTATCAATTGGAAGTTTTTTATTAAAATCTTTTTGTATTAAAAGATCAATATGTACTGTTTTTTTTTTTTTTTAATTAATCAATTAATTAATTAAATTATCTATTTTGAAGAGAGAAATAGAAATTTTTTCTTTTTTTTTGTAGCAAATAATGATGACATTATGAAAGTGATTTCAACTTTCAATTTCGATTTAAACTAATTCTTAAATTTACAAAATACATTTTAATATACATTTTGACCTTAACACAACAATGAAAGCAATGTTTTTTTTTTTTTTTTTTTTTTTTTTTTTTAAGTCTCTAAAGACAGTGAGTAAAATTTAAAAATACAAATTTAATTGAATATTTACCCTAATGACAATTTGAAATGATCAGTGAAAGATGAAAGCGATAAATGAATGATTTCAGTTTAGAAAAGTGATAGATTAAAGTTTTAATGAAATGGAAATAAATTAATTATCAATTATTCTTTTCCATTTTCTTCTTTCACTAATTTTACATTTTTTTTTTTTTAAATTAAAGATTTAATAAATTAATAATGGAATACCTCATCATCAACAGCACAAACTTTTACACCATAAACGGAAATTGATAACTGAACAGCAATAGGAGGTTTCCGAGGAATGAATCGATCTAATCGTTGTGATACGGATTCCGGATCAATTCCCGGTACAGGGAATGATCCAAGCCACTAAAATAACAATACCATCTCAAATTATTGTTTAGGCGAAAATATTATCTGATTTATTTTTTATTATAAACAATTTTTGATATGTTTTAAGCAATAATAGAAATAACATAGAAATTCTTTTTTTTAATGTCATAAATTTAATTTAATTATAAAGAATGGAAGTAATTTTTTTTTTCTTTCATCCTTTATTTACTTTTGTTTTTTTTTTTAAATTTTCTTTTATCTTTCATTTGCATTGAAATTGCAATAATATAATAGCATTTGTTTTAATTTTTCACATTTGAATTTTTCATTGAGGAAATGAAATTTTGAAAAGAATTTTGTCAGATTAAGAAAATATCGCAAATGGTATGTCAACAAAGAGCTTAAAATGTCATCTGTAGGTGATAATGTTTGAAGTTTTGTTAATTATGCTGTTAAATATGTACACATTTATGAAAAATGAATGAATGAAACCTCGACATTCCATGAGAGTGAGAAACCGGGTCGCATCTATGTGTCACCAAATTGGCAGAGAGGAGACGACAGACGATCACCGATGATGCCGAAAAGATCAGATTGTTGTAGTCCGAAGGAGAAAATGGACAACAGGTGGGCGACAACAATCTCTGCAACAAATAAAATACACAGTTGCGGAAGATAGTTAAAGCAGCCACAATAGTAGTTGTAGTAGCAGCTGTTGCAGTTGTACTAGCAGTTATTGTAGTAGCAGCTGTTGTGGTAGCAGTAGCAGTTGTAACGAAAGATGAATGAGTGAATGATTAAAAGTGATCTGATCAGCGTAACATTTCATTTCTTTTAACTGACTATTAGGACGAGAATTGTTTTTGTCCCACCTACTACTACTACTACTACTACTACTACTACTACTACTACTACTACTACTACTACTACTACTACTACTACTACTACTACTACTACTACTACTACTACTACTACTACTACTACTACTACTACTACTACTACTACTACTACTACTACTACTACTACTACTACTACTACTACTACTACTACTACTACTACTACTACTACTACTACTACTACTACTACTACTACTACTACTACTACTACTACTACTACTACTACTACTACTACTACTACTACTACTACTACTACTACTACTACTACTACTACTACTATACTACTACTACTACTACTACTACTACTACTACTACTACTACTACTACTACTACTCTACTACTACTATACTACTACTACTACTACTACTACTACTACTACTACTACTACTACTACTACTACTACTACTACTACTACTACTACTACTACTATTACTACTACTACTAAGTTGTAATTTGACATTAATTATCATCTTATCAGCTTGGTCGAAACACTTTATTGATAAAATTGTGATGCGTTTTTTGAGCTAGTAATAAGGAAGCAAATTTTATTCATTTAAATAAATGAAATTGCAATGTCCGATAATAATGAATTATTATTATTATTGTCTTATTATTATTACTATTATTATCATTATTATTATTATTATTATTATTATTGCTTTTATTATTTTTATTGCTATTTAAATGTCCTGCAATTACTTACTATACGATATAAATTTCTTTTTAACTGAAATTTCACAAATATCATCTTTCATTCTTTTTGTTACAAATTAAAGTAATGAATAAAAAAATGGAATTATAATTGCTACATAAATGTGCTAAATTGATATTATTTGTAATAATTCATTCTTTTCAGCTTTTGCTTTATCATTCTTTAATCATTAAAATCTAAAATGATAAATTGAATATTTCACAGTTTTTTTTTTTTTTTTTTTTATGATTTAACAATTGTATTATAAATGAAAATCATACGAAAAAAAAAAAAAAAAGGAAAAAAGGAAAAAACGTTGTCATTACAATAATGTTAACACATATTTTTCTCTCTTTGTAAGAAGAAAATATCATCGGAGAGATTTCTTTTTTTTTATTTATTTATTTTTTTGAGCGATTTACACCTTTTACAGTTTGTGTTAAACATCGTATCACAACAATCAAAAATGGTAATGATATGAGTGAGTCATAAAAGTATGCAAGGATAGAGGACAGAAGGGCAAAGGACAAAGGACAAAGGACAAAGGACAAAGGACAAAGAAAAGATAGCAAAATTGGAATTTAAAATTTTTAATAAGCAATTAATAATGAAAATATTTTTGGGTGGAAAAAGAAAAAGCGACAAATTGTGACAAAATATTTTAAAATTTAAATTTAATCATTTTTCATTTCCTAATAGAAATTTATCATAGTATTTTTGTAAAATTATTGAAAATATTTTGCTTAACAAAAGTGTTTTCTTTTTTTTTCAAAAATCTAAAAAAATAAAAAATTGAAATTGCTTCAAATTTAATCTAAAACAATTTTTTTTTTCTTGATTTTTTATTGGATTAAAGTTGGATTGAAATATATGGAATTTTTATTTCAATGTAAATTTTAAATTTTCAAATTAAAATTTTAGCTAAAAATGATGAAAAATATTAATTACAATTGTTTCTATTATTTATAAATAAACTTACATACAAATTTATATCTCATAATGGTATATTTTAAAACACTGAGATAATTTCTTAAAAAGATAAATACTCATTGTAGAAATATTTTATTATTATTATTATTATTTTATTATAACTAGGAAATTGAAAATTTTAATTCCGAAATATTTTTCCAATTTTGCAATTAAATTTAATGATTATTTGATAAATAAAATATAAAATTAAATTGAAAAATTAGCTAAAAGAATAATTGAAAGAAACTGTTCCATCGTTGATATTTAATAACGAATTTAATATAATTTCGTCGATGATTAAACAATTGCGACAATTGGACTGTCAATTTATCCTTTCCATTCGTTTAAAATTAAACTATAATTTATAAATTTGACGACCCATTTTATCAAATCATTCATTCAGTGCTACCAATCATTTTATCATTATCAAATTAATAATAATAAAAACAGTAATAATAATAATAATAATAATAATAATAATAATAATAATAATTTCATTTATTGGAAGAATTTCATGCTTACTTCTCGTTTTTATTCTTAAAAATTCATATAAATAATATATTTAATTAAATAGCACAAAAGGTACAAAAATTACAAAATGATAACGAAATTAATGAAAATTGTGGAAAAAAATTTAAAAAAAAAAAAAAGAGACAATTAATTAAAATTTATTAAAACTTTTTGCCATTTACCAAAGATAGTATTTGAGTAAACAAAAAAAAATTTACAATATGTGAATTATTTTCTAATGTTTTGAAACATTGCCTAAAATGAGAAAAATATGAAAAATTAATTATCAAATGAATGATAGGCTTTTAATGCTTGGCTCATTCGTATCATAAACAATCATTAATTATCATAAATATCATAAATAATAAATTTTAAATTTATCATAAATAAAATCAGCTTTGAAAATATAATTATGCTATTAAAATAATATGAAAATTTTAGATTCAAACATTTGTTGCTTGACTTTTCCTTGTTTTTCTTTTTTTTTTTTTTTTTTTTGGAATATTTTCTATTATCATCGAAAATTCTGAATTTTAGATTATAAAATGAAAGTTTTCATTTTTTATTTCTCCAATTAAATATAACTATAAAGTATTTTCTTTTAAATTTATTTACGATATTAAAATTTAAGATTTTTTTAATTCAAACTGAAAATTTTTCTTTTTTGTTCTTTGCATCAACTATATATATATATATATATATATATTTTAACTTTTTAAATTAATTCTATTGATTATTAATTTTTAATTCTATTAAATAGTAACATAAATGTAAGATTTAATTTTTAGTTACATATAAAATTTCAGAAATTTAACATTAAATTAAATTATATTTTGTTTTATTGCTAATCGTTTTTTCTAAAATAATTTTAAATAAATAAATATATATAACAATATGATGAGTTCATCTAAACAAATCCTTCAAATTATTCCACTCAATAAATTATATTTTCCAAAAAATAAATTCTACTTTTTTTTTTTTTATAAAAGAAAGTATGAAATTGAAATTGATACTGTTCTCTGCTCACATACCGCAGCATATTGAATTTAATTTAAAGAATTAAATTTAATTTAACTTCAAAAATTTTCAACTTATTGTAATTTTATCTCAGTACAGTCATAAATTTACAAAAAAAAAAATTTTTTTTTTTTTTTTGTTTACAATAACAAATTTTATAAGTTAAAATTAAAAATTAATAAACTAATTACTCTTAACAACTTAAACAAAATCATCAAATTTAGAAATGAATAAATTTATAATAATATCAAAATTAAATATACAAAATTTAGTATTTAAAAAACATTAAAATATACATAATTCATTACATAAAAATTCAATATATGCTATCCACGTTACTATGCATAATTTATTTTCACAGGTAGTAATTAATTAGTAAAAAAAAAAAATTTCTTTGAAAAAGCTATAAGTATTTATTTACACATATAATCTTTTCCGTCTGTTGCACTCACTATTTCAAAATTTAATTCATGTTTAAATTTTTAGTACGATATAATTGTACTATAGAATAAACTATTCTTTTTTTTTGAAACTTTGTTTCAATTTTTTTTAGAATAAAATAACTATAAACAAGTTAAAATTTCAATTTGTCTATGATAATCAAGTGAAATTATTGCTAGCATTCCATTTTCGATCATTGAAGGCAAACTTATCATTATATTGATAATGAAATGATAACTTGTCATTAAACTTATCATTATATTGATAATGAAATGATAACTTGTCATTAAACTTATCATTATATTGATAATGAATTAATAATATAATGAAGGCAAATTGATCGGAAAAGAAAAATGAGATATATAAATAATGATGATGAAAAAAAAATATAAAAAAATAAGATAGAATATAATGATGATGAAAAAAAAATATAAAAAAATAAGATAGAATATAATGATGATGAAAAAAAAATATAAAAAAATAAGACAGAATATAATGATGATGAAAAAAATATAAAAATAAGATAATAATACCATTAATGAAAATGAAATAATAAATAAAATTTGTTCGATTTATTGGAACTAAATATTACTATTCATCCTATAAATGAACTAAATAACCTTTGCACTTAATTGTTTTTTTAAAAAATTTTACTTTTTTTTTTTTTTTTTTTTTTTTGTTGTAATAAAAGATTAAAACGAAATAGCACAATTTGACAGAGTAATTCCTACTTACTTTAAAACATTACATTATTGATAATTGATAAAAGTAAACTCAGCTTGTGTAAGAAACAGAAAAAGACAACGAATTTACGAATTAACAAAATACTGTGACATGTCACTTTGGTTATCATTGCTCATATGTCAAAGGTTAATTAGATTAAGTACATTCCATCAACATTTTAACCTCAAATCAATAATGCATTGCGGTATTAATTTATTAATCTATTAATTGTTATCATTATTATTATCATCATTAACATTATTGAAATACTAACATAATTTATATGTGTAAATAAATAGAAGTTATATGATTATTATTGCTTATCATGAATTTAATTTTCTATAAATTTAAAGTGTTAAATTTGCTTCTGGCTCTCTCTTTTTTTTTTGAAGTTTTTTTTTTCTTTTTCTTCTTCGTTATTCATTTTTTTTTTTTCAATTAAAAACTTTACTACACTTAGACGAATATTTTTGCATTAGAATGATAATTTTCTTTTCTTTTTTTTAGTGATCATTTCAGCATTTTAATTAGCAAAAAATTTACTTAAGTATTACTATAATTTATTTGGGCAATAAAAAACAAATATGTAATAACTGTACAATTAATACAACTAAAATACTAAAATAACAACCTATCTCTGAGATTAATGATAATATCTCAAAAAATTATTCTTTTTTTTTATTTTACGTTTGTTTACTTCTATCACGTGAAATAAAAATTACATAAAATAAGCAATAGTTATTTGAGAAAAAAGTAAGCCTAATACTTTAATTGTAAAAAAAAAAAAAAAAAGTGATTTAAGTTTTTAGAAATTTCAATAGAAGAGAATAAGGATTGTTTTAAAAATTAATATTACCGCTGTAAATTTATGTAATTTATAAATGAATACAATATTTCATGAAAGTTATATCATAAAGTATATCATAAATTTTTATCGGAAAAAAATTTACTGCATATTTACTACTTCTTTGATTAGTTATCATTAAGCTTTATGATAAATATACATCACAATTGTCACTAATCATTCACTCAAACAATATTGCACACAAAATTTAATTGGGTTCTGGACGAAATTCAAATAATTCGCTGTACGATATTACACCAAAATTCCCGTCATTTTCACCAACAATTTTACATTCTTTTAACACAATTTTCGACATAAATCAAAATTTATCAGTGTAACTTCTCCTCTTCGATTAATAACAATTTAAAATGCGCCGATTTCTGAAACTAATTCTAAATGATTTTTTCTTTTTTCATTAATAGTTAAATCACTAATTAACTTACTCAAACAACTTAACTAGAGGTGTGTGTGTGTGTGTGTGTGTGTGTGTGTCATACTACGAATTCCTCAATACAACTTCCCATTACACTTATCATAGATCACAAAGAGCAGAAAAAAAGCAAGAAAAATCGTTAATAAATCGACGCGGAAGGTGCAACTAATATCACTATTACCTGTCGCTGAATATTATAAATCCCCGAAAGAGTATTGAGTATTTGTTTAATTCTAAATATTGCTCTGATTAATTTTAACAATCACTAAAAACATAACTGAAGAGTTTGCAAATCCACTTAAGTGCACTTACTATTATGATAATCCCACATCAGTGAATCAAAAATTGTCAAATTGAGTTATACTAACATTGAATGCATCGACTATAAAGCACTACGACTCACTAATAAAAATGAAACATTTGACTGTTCATAGATTCAGCCAAGATAGAGCGCTGATATGCGATATTTTGTGTTCGACAAACGCTATAGCAGAAGATTTAACAATGAATACTATGTAATAATTTATTGTGGAAACAATTCTCTGCACTTGTAAATTCAAACCTTTCTAATATTATCAAATAAATTCTATAGGAAAGAGCAAGATTAATCACTGATTCAACATTATCTTTTATTATCATATGCAAATTTTTTTAATTAGTCATTTGTTTAGTTTATTTCTATACTACATTAAATATCCCGCTATCCAATCAAATTTCAAACAATCAGCAGAAAAAGAGAGGAAAAAATATATATAAATATATACATATACAAGCCAAATAACGATTAAAACTTTGCAAACTGTGTATTAGTGTGTTTATGAGCATTATGCTGTGAGGTAGGAAAATTATGGTTTCGGTCATATATTTTCCGCAACACCATTGCTTAAAGCAGTGAGCTTGTTGCTGAGTTTATTAGCAAACTGATTTCGGAATTCCGGTGATATTACATTTAGCAGTTGATAAATCGTCTCGAAATAACGGGTATGCAAATCGAGCTGCCGATAATCGCCATTCATACTATCGTGACGATCTGATGCCACACGCCATCCACGTTGCGTCAATTCAATACAGTACATACGATCTGATAACATTAAAGTAATAATTGATTGAAGTAAAATCAGATTGGCTAAACTCCAAAATTTCGTGCAAATCGTGAAAAAATGAATTATTATATAAATTTCCGCCACAGTTTTACAAACGACAGATAACACGCTACTGCTCCTTCATTTGTTCCATATCCTATTCAACTTCAGAGGAACCCTGGACCTGTAGATATTGATTCGAGAAAGATTTCAATAACGCAAACAAATAGAATAAATGTGCAAATCATAATTAAGTTACGAAAATAAGTAGTTTGAGATACAGAAACAGACGAGAGTTGTGCTCACTACTTAGCAGAAACTCGGAATATGGTATGAATGTGATGCGATAACACCCGCAAGATTTTTCTAATTGTATAAATCAAACTGATGAATAATGAATTGAAGAAATAAGTGCACTATTTTAACTAGAATTAGATGAAAGAACAGAAATACCTTCCAGCGTGATCAGATTCATAAAAATCAAATCAGCAGTTCGCGGTAATGCTTCTGGCAAAGATATCATTCGTACAGCAAAACCAATTTCACGAATTGCTGCAAGAGCCTCCTTTTCCAAAATCGAATCACCCAATCCAAAATCTGCACACTGTTCGGCAATATCACTGTAAATGCAATTTCTATTGCATAACTTCTTGAATAAAATCAAACAAATCCAAATATCGCTAAACCCGACTAGCAATTAATTAAATGCAATAGCTTTACGATTAAAGTTTCCACTTTTATGAAGACCACCATATTCTTTTCCGCATAGATACTCTTAAGTTGTACTGAGCTTACATTATAACATCTAATTTCATTAAATCCATACTTCAGTATATCCGTAATTTGTTCGGGTGATAATGCTGATGATTGCATTTTTTTATTATTACTGCTCTCTTCCGAACTGAATTCTAATAGAGGCCTACTAGGGCCATCCATTTGCTCACTACTGTTTGTTAATAAACATCGATTTGGCACTGAAAGCAGCAGATTAATTTAGATAATTATATTAGGAAAACCAAAGAATTTCATTACGAAAAAGAAAAAATCATATTCAAGAAACTAAAATAATTATATTGCAATACTGAGTAATTAGACACAAAAATAAAAGAAATAGATGCGGAAAATTGCATAGAATAGAACAAGAAATGATAAAGCAATTATGCTAATAAATTTCACAAGGAGAAAAGAAAAACACAGAATGTGAATGCAGTAGGGTATAAAAATTATGATAGAATTGTGATACGATGTGAGCATCTTCTTTAGCAATTTATTGCCAACAAAATGATTACTGGACCTGTCTAGAGAATATTGCTGGCCTGAAAAGAAAGTACAATTGGCCCTGAATAAAAAGTGTTATTGGCCTGAATAAAGAGCCAACAGAATATACCCTCTATTCAGATTCAATAAGGGTAAGAAATAGCAGTAATTGTAGGAGTGAAATATATATAAGCATGAAACGAATACTCCATATTTTCATCACTAACACCGCTACAAACATTACAACCCGAAAATAGTTTAACCCGTGAATTTACCCGCAAAGACAAGCAATGATGTCGGGTTAACATCGCTACACTCATGATGTCTGGGTTCTCTCACAATTTCATATTATTTTTCAACCTTTTTACAATTGAATTTCTTGCTGGCAAAGTGTTTGGGTATGGTGATTGCGAGTAATGGGTACTTGGGATAATGGGTGCTTGGAGTAGTTACGTAGTGCTATTATTACGTTATTCACGTGGTATCACTCGTTTTACGTGGTACCATTCTACGCTACGTGAAATTTTATCTTCTTTTTCAAAGTTGGGCGATGGTTGATGTTTATGAAAGAAGAAATATTTTTATTTCCTCAAATAGTGCAGAAATTTATTATAGCAGAATTTTTATGACAGAAATTTTATAAAATAAAAATGAAAAAAATAATGTGTAAGATGTACTTTGATATTGAAATTATCAAAAATGGTGTACTTATAACATTTTGGAAAGGATTAGAAAAGGTGTATTAAATTAGACATGTTTAAAATCTAAGTTATTCAATCTTTTATCGGAATGTTTTTAAAATATTGTCAAATGCTTTTCATGAGTCAAATAAAAATTAGAGTTTGAATATGTCTTTAGAGTTGTTCATTCCGATATCACTGGTTTATTGGCCGGTTTTGGATGGCAAATCGAACAGTAAAAGATGCGGTCACCGTAAAAGGGACAAATCCACAATATTTAGTGGAAAAAATTATTCGCACACGAATTTATGATTCGAAATATTGGAAAGAAGAATGTTTTGCATTAACTGGTAAGTAACAAAAAAGGAAAATTTTAGTGATTAGAAAAAGTGCATCCACAATTTCAGAATTGTTCATTCTACTAATATCCAATTGTTTATAAAACTTTAAATAGCAATGAATTTTGAAGTTCTTTTTGCTTAATATCAATTTATATAATTTGTTTTGAAGCAACTATCCTGATATCACTTTTTTAGACATTTTACATTTTTTGTAGCTAAACTTATATTCAAAAAATTTTTGTTTATATGCATAACTTTGATGTTTGATATGCGATGAATGCAAACAAGTTATGATGTAATTACAGCAGAACTTCTGGTAGACAAAGGAATGGAACTACGATATATCGGCGGAATCTATGCAGGAAACGTGAAACCAACACCTTTTTTATGCCTGTGCTTGAAAATGCTACAAATTCAACCAGAGAAAGATATTGCTGTTGAGTTCATTCGGCAGGAAGAATACAAGTAAGTTATTGAGTCTTTAAGAACAAATTTTCAAAATTTCTTTATTACATTACTTTATTTCAGATATATTCGTGCACTGGGAGCGATGTACATCCGACTTACGTTCACTTCTATTGAAGTTTACAAATATTTGGAACCCCTGTATAACGATTACCGGAAATTGCGAATGATGAACAATGAAGGAAGTAAGCTGAAAATTGAAACGCTCTCTTTATGACTAATCTGCGTAGATAAAATTTCAAATTGAAATAATTCTTTTTTTTATAGGATTTGAAATTGTTCATATGGATGAATTTATTGACAGTTTGTTACGTGATGAACGGTACTGTGATATTCATTTGCCGAGAATACAGGTATTCTAATCTTCTTGCTTTTTTTCGTTGATTTCTGCACAATTTATTTTTCTACCATATTGTCAACGGTACGGTAATCTTTATGAATAATGTCAACCTAGCGTATAGAAACCATATAGTAGAGCAGTAAGATGTATTGTGCTAATTACACAAAAGTTTTGATTTGGAAGTTCGAAGAAATTGGATAACAGTGACCCTGTTTAAATTGCAACATTTGTTTTCAGTTTTGATGTTTGAGGAGCATGTTTTAACTGCTGGGATATTAGATAATTTTTTTTTGCATTAATTGTAAGGAGAACTGAATATGAAATATGTTTAATTATAAATTATAGAAACGAATAACTTTGGAGGAAGTTGGAGAGTTACAACCATACGTTAGTGCACTCGATGAAGATCTCGATAAGTTATCATCATCAGATTCCGAGGACGATGACGATAGAATTCGCAAAAGAAAAGAACGTTCAAAGGCAGGCATATATGTGATTATATTTTAGGGCCTATCATCATAAGATGTTTGCTGCTTAATTTTAGGTAAACTATGTGCTTTATTTTTGGTGTAAAATGATCGGTAATTCAGATTTTTGCTTATTACATAGTTATTCCTTCGAAAAGTTTTGCAACGTTTTTAAGTATGATATTTAACAAAATATTGTTGTTATGTAAAAGATGAAAGTAAGTCAAATATTGCTGACTTTTTTTTCCTTATAGGTTATGCCTCGCCGACGCAGTTATTCAAGAGAACGTGAACGGGAACGTGATGTGGATCGAGGTAGAGATAGGGACAGAGAAAGAGAACGAGAACGGGAGAGGGAGCGTGACAATGATCGTGACAAAGATAGGAATAGAGATCGCGATCGACGTCATCGCACACCGGAGTATCGTGATCGAGGTATTATAGTTTCAGCAAATTAAGTTGAGCACTTATTTTTAATTAAATTTGGATTAGTTATGTTGGATAATCATGTAAAATTTAATATTGATATTAGCTCATTTAGATGTATCTTTTTCAGTTTTCTTGCTAATATGTGATGAAGATAGTATTAAAACTCCCTTTTTTTACTGTGTCGTAGAATAGTTTGAGAGAGTTGGAATAGACTTTTTCTTTAAAAAAAAAAAAAAAACAAAAAAACAAAAACAAAAAGGTAATACACTCAATGGAAGACCCATAGCTGTGGGACTGAATAGCAATGTTTTACAGCGATTTATTTCAAATTACTATTATCTTTCTCACTGTTTTTATTTAAATCAGTTAGTTGTAGAACGAAATAGTCGAAAAGACAAGGAACGCGATAAGGATCGAGAGCGGTGACGTGTGGACAATGTTTGACTCGGAAGTATTGTTGGTTCTGTTAACGTTGTTTTTTGTATATTCAGGTGTGTTCGTTTTTCACTGGTTGTTTATTTCGTTAAGTCAAAATTGATCTATCACCTTTTATAGTCATTAAGTTGTTAAGTAATCTTCCAAATCTCAATTCCGTCGTCATTATGACATAATGTTTTCTTCCTGATTATTTTGTTTACATTAAGTTTGATCGGAAATGGTAGTTAGTTTTCATTATTTTTCGACATATAGATAATCCATATTTGTGAAAACGAAGAAATACATATATGAAATTTTAGCTTTATTTTAATCATTATATTTTTCGATATGAAATTGAATTCAGGCGATTGATTCTGTTTTATCTCGAGTTATTGCTGCATCCAATATAACAAATTCATTCAAAGTTAAATGTCCCTTAAATAGTGGATGAAGCAAATAAAGGCATACCAAATAAATATTAGAAATTAGAATTTCATTTGAGTTGTTGATCATTCTTAGCAGTATGTCTTTTTACAGTAATTTTACTTTTGATTTCTCAAATATAATGTAATAATGAATGTTAAAGCGATACAAAGTCTCAAATTATTTTGTTTTAGTTTTTCTCTAAACAGTGCGATATTAGAATATAAAATTTCATAGGGATTACTTTTTCTTCAGATGTTATTCCAGTTTCCTTGCAAATTTGCGAAAGACGTGGTGAAATTTTGAGATTATCAGGATCGTCCAATGCAGGAAATATGACATCCCATGGTTCAGCTTGTTTATATCTGTAAACCTCATGCTTGATGTCTTATTGTTTGTTTTTATAAGATATGAATATTTGTCATTAAGATTGTAGAGTGATAAATAAAATTGAACCAAAAATATGAAAGTGATGTAGTCATTATGAAGAAAACCTGGAAGATTTGAAATAAAAATATTTGGAATTAAGAAGAACGTTGATAATGTTTCTATGCATTCGAATAAACGAACCGATATGATTCAGAACGGTAAGTTAAAAATTAATATTTTAGATTGTCTTCCATAAATTATGCAATGAGTGTTAGTAATGTGTGAGTTGTTTTCATTTTTCAATTTGAAGAGTTAAATGATTATAAATTGCTAATTAATCTAATTAAGTGTGCAAATCTCACTTTCATTTTATCAGGTATATTCGATGAAATTTCTAATTTATGCGTATTTATGTATTATAATATCCTGCTTACCTAATTGAATATATGATAGGTACGTATCCGAAGCTGAAAAACTGCTCTATTCGATAGTGTAATGACATTCGTGCTTCATGTCTGGAAAATGCCTTTCTTTCAATAGTAATATTTAAATAAAGTTTAGATGAAGTAATAATTTAGCAGTGGGAACAAAATATTTCATAAATAATACAATCATATGACATAATTTTAACTAACTGACTTACTTGTCTATTTGTACCAGTTCAGCAATATATGGTAGTGCTTCAAGATCAAAACGATCACTTCGAGGTTTATTTTTAAGACGTTTTATCTTAAAACAAATTAAGCTTAAATTATTTTTTCTTTTTTTTTTTTTTTTTTTCACTTCTCAAAGTAAAAAAAGATGATAAAGTAATCAATGTAGTATGATTTTGTCTCATCCATTAAACTTATTGTATGGATACCTTAAGCATTAAAGTTTGTTTAGCATCGATAATACCGCCAGTTGGATTTACTCGGAAATCAGATGGATGTGTCACTTTAACCTGAAATAAAGAATTTAACAAGCTATATTATAAGAAGTAAATAATTGCTGATGTAAGCTAAGATTATACAGAAAGTAATCGAAGGAAAAAGAGTAGTAAAATTTAAAGATAGTAACATCAGTTCTTTTTGAAATAATACTAATTATAGTCTCGAAATAATAAAAATGTAATCAGTGACATGTCAAAAATGCTACAGAAAATAAACAATTAGAATTTGAAAAATATTCCATAATGCAGAAAATTTAAATAATGCAAAAAATTTACTCGAAAAATAATTGGAAATAAATTTTCATTGGTAATTTCATGAACATTTATCAATTCTTCAGTGCCGTCAACATAAACAAAATCTGGTTCAATATGAAATTTCAATCTTTCCATTCTCCTCAAATATTATTATTTTTTTTTTTTGGAATATTAGAAAGAGAGGGAGAGAGAGAGAGAGAGAACTATGTACATAGAAGTGAATGGATTAATGCTTAGATACCATATCAGCAGTAATTAAAATAATTTTTACTTATAATGCAATATTTATTTAAGAAGTTGAAAAGATACAAGTAGAAAGATGATTATATTAGAATTAGATAAAGCATAAATCAATTTAATTATTCATATGTGAATTTTAAAAAAAAAAAAAAAAAAATTATTCAAATTTAGTGGCAAATTAAATAAATTTTAAACCGTTATGTAATTGAATTTTTATGAATTTATTAATACATACTTAATCAATTTTTCATGAGTTACAGCTATCTTCACCGCATCACTAGCAATTTCACTTGATTTCTCACCCTAAATTAATTTTTTTTTATTTTTATTTTTTTAAATTTCAATTCAATAACTAAAATTTTGATCAGAGTTAATACAATGTTATCAATTCATTTGAATACTATAAATTAAAAGATCACAAAATGAAATGTGTAATTCAAAAATGACTTTTTCATTTTGAAAAAATTCATTTCATTAAATGTATACCATGCGATTTTCGATTTGATTGTTTGAATAATTATTCTGAAATTGAAACAATTAAATAATTTATTAATGATTAAATATCGATTATTAATGATGCTATAAAAGAGTGTAAAATTTAAATATTTATTTATTCGTTGATTATTATTGAAAAAAACGGTTAAATGTTGGCTAAATTTAGGTAACATTAGAAGTGCAAAAAGACTTTATGAATTGAAGTAAACAATTTCATTTGTATATTTAACAGTTTCCAATTTCATTTTATATTAGATTTATATTTTACATTTTATATTTATATTTTTTTATATAACCAGAAAAGATAATAGCAAATAAGCAGTTCTTACAAATAAATTATTAAATAACTAAAAAACTGCCAATAATCATATCCATTTGATGAATTTAAAGTAAATAATGAAATTATTGAATTAATATAAATAATTAAAACATTTTGAAAATAATTAAATTTAATTTGCGATATTTATTTCTTTTTGAAAAATTGTTAAATTTGTTGTTAATCAATGATACTGCTAAAAAAGCAACATCACCTTACAGCTGAATAATTTTGTGCATTAAATGAAAGCAAATAATAGTTTGATTAAAAATGAAAAAATTCATTTCATTTAAAAAAAAAAAAAAAGATAATTTCAGTAATTTGCATTTATATTTCTTAGGAAAGAAAAAAAATGCTAGAAATAATTGAAATAATTGAATTTTTCAATATAATTATTAAAATTATGAAACGGCCAAGTGGTTTATCGATAGCATTAATGTTAATGGTTTTGAAAAGTTGTATTGTTTTCATCGGTTAATGAGTATTTCATTTTTGTTATTTCTTGTTACTATTATTATTTGCTAATTATTATTATTATTATTATTATTATTATTATTATTATTTTTATTACTATTATTATTATTATTATTGTTATTATTATTATTATTATTATTACTATTATTTTTATTACTATTATTATTATTATTATTATTATTTATTATTATTATTATTATTATTATTATTATTATTATTATTATTATTATTATTATTATTATTACTATCTCCTAATTCTCTTCTTTTACCTAATCAATTCATTTTTTGTGATAAATGAGATTCAAAGAAAATTGCCATTTTCAACTGATTTAAAAATTTTCCCAATAATATCACTGATAATTTAAATAATTATATTGTAAGCATTATTTGAACAACTTATGTATTATTGCTGCTTGATTAATATAAAATTAAATATTAAAAAATATTTGCATGAATTTTAATAGCAAAACTTTTAAGTTCTTTATGAATCATTTATGCTACTAGTCCGACCATATTTACTTAGTATTAAACTTTATGGACAAAATAATTTATTGGAATTTGTCATTGAATATACTATCTTCTCATGTTAGTTCATTTATACTTTTTCAAATAATAAACAAAACATGAAAAAAAAAAAAAAAATTTTTTTTTTTAGGTATAAAATTAGTAACGAAATTTTGTTAACAAAATGGTTGCATTACAGCAAAGTGTAATGTATTCATTTAAAAATTTATCATTTGTAAAATAATTTTAATTTTCACGAAATAATCTAAAATTAATGTAAGAAAAACAAATTGGAATAAAATTGTTGCTTTCAAGAAAAAAAAGTGCAAATTATTATAAATTCAAACTGAAAACATTAGGAAAAAAACTATGATACATGTTTAAATTTTTCAAAATAAAAATTTTTTATAGGTTAATTGTTCAATTTAATTTCTTAAGTATTGATATTATGATAATAACAGATATTATAATATTTCATTTGTATTTATTAATTTGAATTTCTAAATATAGGAAATTCAAATATTATAATATTTTATTTTTATTTGTTAATTTGAATTCTTAAATATAGGAAATTCAGATATTATAATATTTCATTTTTATTTGTTAATTTGAAATCCTAAATATAGGTATTATGGTAATAACAGATATTATAACATTCCTTTTACTATTGGATGGCAATTATGAGACAATCAAATATTTCTTAATAATAATATTAATATGCCAATTAATCATACTTTTTCCATTTTCTTTGTCAGGTAAGTTAACCCACATGTCGGGTAACTAATAAGTAATGCATCACAGATTATTATTTTATTCAAATTAAAAAAAAATGTTATTTTAAGGAATAATTCTTGCTATAACAACACAACAAGCATCTGCTAAAGCTTTTAGTAGCACTTGGTTGGAAAATTTTCATTATATTCATTATTATTCATCAAATTTAACTGCACCAATGGCAAATTTTTTTACATAAATATTTCTTCGTTTTCTTTTTTAGATTTAAATTTAAATTTTATATCGTTTAAATAAAAATTTTTCATTTTGCAAAAAAAGAAAAAAAAAAAAAGAGATGAATTTTTGAAGTTTTTCTTTTCTTAAAAAACAAAGAAAAAAATTCAGTTAAATATAATAAAGTCTAACATAGAAAATTTCATGAATATGAATTTAAATTTAAATTTGTATCATTTAAATACAAATGTTTTATTTCACTAAAAAAAAAAAAAAAAAAGTGATTTTTTTGAATTTTCCTTTTCATTTTGAAGAATTTTAGTTAAATACAACAAATTTAATAGGTGAACTTAAGGATTTAAATTTAAATTTATATCATTTAAATAAAAATATGAATTTTATGATTTTTTCATTTTTTACTTTTTCTGTGTTTTTTTTTTTGAAGAATTTCAGTTAAATGAAACAAATCTAATAGAAGATTTAATGGATATGAATTTGACTGAGCAAGATTTCAATACTTCAAATTTAATCAAAGATGTTATCGGTGTGCGTGAATTGATTGAAAACGAACCAATTATCAAAAAGCTTGACAAATATCTCACATTTGTTCGACTTATAAATTTTAAAAAATTTCAATTTTTTTTTTAAATAATCCAAAAATTTAGTTTTTTTTCTTATTAAAAAAAAAAAAAAAAAGTATAATATAAATAAGTTTAAAACGATTATAATATATTTGAAAAAAAAAAATAATAATACATTTAAAATAATGTAGTATAAATAAGTTTGAAATTTTTAAAATCTTATCAAATCATTTGAGAAAAAAAAAAAAAAATTGAAAGTTAAAGGTTAATTCGGTTCAGCGACAATTAGAATGCTGTGGTGTTGAAGGATCACATGAATGGTTAAGTTTATATTCTGGGACATTTGCGCTTCATAAGGTTTCGTTTTTATATTGTTGCGCAATTTACATATGGAAAATTACATAATTTATTTTACTTTTATTGCTTTTTTCTTACAAAATTTATTTTTTATTTTTATTTTAAAAAAAAAAAAACATTACAAAATTTATTTTACTTTTACTTTTATTTTTTATTTTTAGTTTCATAAAAAAAAAGTGAAAATTTTACTTTTATAGTACTTTTATCTTTACTTTCATAAACAATTTTTTAAAAAAAATTTTCTTTTTTTTTTTAATAGCTTTAAAGCTAATGCAAATGTTATAAATGAAAGTTAAAATTTTTCTTTTGCATTATTCATGACTAAATTTAATAAATTTTATGATAGCATGTCAAAATTTTGTTTTTTTTTTTTAACTTTGTACTTAAATATTACTTGTTTGTTAGACTTTTTGGTTATCAGTTGATTATCAGTTATTATCAGTAGGTGTAACAGAACTGATATAAAATTATTGTATTATTCAAATGCAATATAATTTAGTCAATCAGTAAATAAAATTTGTAAATTTTAGATGACAAAAAAAGATTTATGGTGGTCAGATAGTTGGGTACCAAGGCGATTTACACCTTCGTGCTGCTCAGAGACAAATTTTTTATGTTCAATTTATTTAGAGAAAAGTTTATTTTATTTTTTCTTTTTTTAATAATAACTTATTTTTTACTAATTATATAATTTTACTTAAATTAACTTTGAATTAGCTTTTGTATTTTATAGTAAGGAAATTGTTATATAAAAAAAGAAAAGAAAAAATCAACAAATTAATCACTGCGAATGTAAAATGTTTAAGTTTTTTTGATTTTTTAAAAATTCTTTATCATTTTTCATTCAAAAAAAAAAAAAAAAACATTGTTTCTTTTATTAATTGCATAATTTTATTTTATTAATTTGCTTCACTTTTTACATTTTAATTTATTTTGTTTAATATTTGAAAATTAAAATTTAATTGCATTTTTAGATAAAACAAACCAACCATTTTATAAAAATCAAATTATTGGTTGTCGAAAAAAAGCAATATCTGAAATTACAAAAAATATAAAAGTTAAATTATTTTATTATTATTTTTATTTATTTCATTTTTTCATTGATTACTTATTATTAATTATGATTATCGAAGTAATTAATATGGATAGCTTATTAATGATTTAAAAATAATTATTTAAATATTACACTCAACAAATTAAAACGAATAATTTTTGTAATTTCAAATATTTAGAAATTACTAAAAGTATAAATGTTAAATTATTTCATTTTATTAGTAAATCATTTTTTATTAATTTTCAAATAATTATGATTAATCTAAGTAATCAATTAAAAATAAATATTTAAATATTACACTTAGCAAACTAAAACGAATAGTTTTTCTGCAATTTCAAATATTTGATAATATTATCATAAACATTTTAATTTAATTACTTTCTTTTATTTATTATTTCACTTAAATTTAAAAATTTTCTTTTATTTAATTATTATTCCATTTAAATTTAATAAATATTTCCTTTTATTTAATTACTATTTGATTTATTTCAACAGATTTTATGCTCATTTATGATTGGAGCTATATTTTTACAACTTATTTTATCGCCACTCATTTATTTTCTCATCGAACGAAGGAGACGAATTGAACGAATACTTTATATTACTCGATGGAAACGACAACTTGAGGTTATTGCAAAAAATGAAAAAAAAGAAAAAAGATTGCTTAAATTTAAAATAAAAAAATTGAATTATGATTGATATTAAAATTAATTTTAAATGAAGAAAAAATAAACAACAAATTGCTTAAATTTGAAAATATATTAAAATATGATTGATATTAAAATCAATTATAACCTTTTTTTTTTTTTTTTTTTTTTTCTTCTATTTAAAACATTCTGATAGTATTTCAATATTTTTAGTATCTAAGAAGTTGAAATTGAAAAAATACACGAGATAGTATGCATAAGTAAAGGAATTATTACACGAAGACAAAATGATAACAAAAATAATAAGTGATAACAAAAAAAAAAAAAAAAAAAAATTTTGTTTAAAAAATAAATTTTTCGACGAATAATTATTAGAATTATGCGCTACAAATTCCAGTTTTTAAAATTAATAAATTAAAATAGGAATTGTACATTGATAAAAGTGAATGAATATGATAGTTATTAATTTAAACGAAATAATAGAACTAATTAAAATACAATATTAATTAGCGGTTTTTTTTTTTTTTCAAAGAATTTCAAAGAAGAATTTTTTTTGAAAAAAAAAATTTCCGAAATTCTTACGATAGATTTCAAGCAATGATAATTAATGCTAATTAGATTGATACTAACTGATAATCAAAATTGATTGACACTAGTCGGATTAATACTAATTAATAATTAGTGATAACTAGCACTAATTGGATTGATGGAATTAATAATTAGTGTTAATTGGCATTAATTAGATTGATATTAGTATCAAAAATTTGTAAAATTCATTTCAATTAAATTTATTTTAGGTTTTATTACAACAGCAACGAAAAGATGTTAGTAATCGAAATGATCAATTGTTGTAAATTAAGAAAGAAATGAAAAACGAGAAGGAAATAACTGAATAAAATAAAATTAAATGATAGGAAATTGAAAAATGAATTAATACAAAATTAAATAAAAACTAATTTACCACTCGTTTTTCATCATTTTTTATGCTTGAAGCAGTACCAAACCTAACGTTTTATGCAACTATATTTGATCAATTTTACCGATTTAAGTTTAAAAAAAAAAAGATATTTCTATTTTCCTTCAACAAAATATCTTTCCAGTATATCTTCCGGCATATCTTTTAGTTCTCAAAATGTATTTAAGTTCAATAAAATCTGTACATTTATTAATACACTAAAACTTATCAATAAATACAGAAAAACAAAAAGAAACAATATCACAATTAAAATATTTAAATCACAAAAAAGGTACGCTTAAGAACACAAAAAAAAAAATTTATAATTTAATATCATTTAAATAAAAATCCATCAACATAACAGTTCTAATCGAAAAATAAAAAAACCTTACTATTCATAAATTAAAGTTAAGTTTCGTAGCTATACAGTCATTAAGTAATTAGGATGAGAATCAGAGGTATTTTTTTTTTTTTTATTCCAATATATTCCAATAATTCCTTATTCCAATATATATATATATATATAGCTGAATCGAATAAATTAGCAAAATGCTTAATGAAAGAAAATAAAATTTTGCATAATATTTTCAGTTACAAATTTTATGTCAATTGTCAATGACTGTTTTCTTTTTTTTTTTAAAGAAATCAGCATTGATTCGCTATGATAAAGTTAAATCGTTTAAAACAGATTTAATTATTACAATTTTAAAAGTTTTAAAGATTTATAATAGATTAACATTCCTTATGATTCTTCTGATTTTCTCAGCATTCTTATATTTTTACAATTTCAACATCAAAATCGCTCGATATCTATTTACAGCGTGTCAAACTACCAAATGAGTATATGTTCACCGAGTAGATATATATCTAAAAAAAATTCTAAATGCCTATTAAGATACATTTTTCGAATTTGTGATACAGATTTGTTTAAAGTTTTTGAAAATATGTGCAATCATCTTTATATATCCAAGATGCAGTAATCGTTGAATAACTTCTTCCATTTCGAATATATTTTTAAATTTTATTAAAATAAAAAATGAAACCTAATGTAACTCTAAAATGGTAATTTAATCCAGCAATTCATATATAACATCTGGAAGCAATGGTGCATTTGAACAATCATAGCAAATGTTCTCTTCGACATCATATGAATGGCTTATAATTTCAACTGAAATAAGCAAAAATTAACAAAGAAATGTAAATTTTAGAACTTCATTTTCTAATCAATCAAAAATGTGAATGAACTGCAGTATTGATTACCTGATATTGCTTTAATATTCTTTATCTGGTATTCCTCGAAATAAATCAAAATTATTGAAAATTTTTGTAACTATTCACATTAAAAAGAAAACCCATATTCTCTATATAATTATGATTACCATTTTTTTCATAAAATGTTCCAATGACTGATATATCGTATTGCTTTTCCAATATTTTCATAGCCATTTTTATATCAAATATATTGCTATCAATGCTTTCACAAGTAACTTGTAAAGAATGTTCAATTCTCTGTGAGTCATCATTCCCTTCTGTATATTTCATATCGAATATCATTTCATTTAGTCCATCATTATCATCTATCCCATCAAAATTATTTTCATTTTTATTTTTATTCAGAATATTATGAGTGAAAATATTGAAGAACTTTCGAAATGAATAAGCCCACGAATTTGCATTTGAATTCCAGTTATCATCTAGCAGATCAAACAGCGTGTCAGAAATGTTCATTTCTAAATGCTGTTCGCTGATGAAACTGTTATCATGACTTTCTTCTAGTAACATCTTTTCCATAATTTCATCACTTTGTATATTTTCAACTGTTGATAGTCGATCACAAAAATTATTAAATGAGTAATCAAAAGCTAATCCAACCCTGCAGCAAAATAAAGTCTGTTACATTCAATTTCTATCTGTCTATTTAATATGTATATATTTTTTGGTGTTATAAATATATAAAAATCCATTCCTTCTAATAGAATAGCTTAATTCAATTAATACTATCTAAAGTTAATACCTCACAATCTATATATAGAAATTTAATTAATACCTTACAATTTATATATAAAAGTACAATCTGTGATTCTATTAAAACCATCCAAACATTTATCAACTACTATTTAAAAAACTGGTCAACTAGGAGAACAACTGGCTTTTGAAGTTATGAATAGAATTCCATTATACTCTTTTTCCTTTTAAAACTATAAATTTATAATACATAGTATATATAGCAAATTATCGCAAAAGTGAAAACTAACCTGCAAGAAAAACTAAATGGATCAAAAAATAACTGTTCTGGATTGCCATATTCTTCTTCGCAGTAATTCATTGTTTTTATCTTGGTTAAACTTAATTTCTGTAATTTTTTCTCCATAAAATGTGATAATTTCTTTGGAGTGCCAATTATACGAGCGAACGATAACAGTGAAAGGAATGAACGTAGTTCCATTGAACTGCAGTGATCCGAATATCTAATCAAATGCTCCCGCTCACTGCTATAAAAAAAAAAAAAACACTACTACCAAATTTTTAGTAGGAAATGATTTTTAGACAAAATATTATTGATAATCAAGAACGAACGGACTATACACAGTATTGGAAATCACATATCGCTTATTTTGTTAAAAGATGTGAAGTATTAGATGGTCAGAGTGAATAATCAGATGACATAATGTTATTAGTATACTGTACTGATATTATAGACAGTTTGATATTTGTGATTAATAAATAATCCTTCCATAAAAAATTTTATAATACATCTACTGCTAATGATCTTAATATTAATATGATCAAGTGTCTTAGATTTTGAAATTTAAAAAAGAAAAAAAACCTCGTGAAATTAAGTGTTTAAATAACTGCATTAATTCATCGTTAGAATTTTTTTTTTTCTTTTTTGAAGCAAGATCGTGTTAATGAGTAAATAAACAAATGAAATATTCAATAAGCAAACTAAGGAATTATAAATATGGTACATAAGAAGTTCGAAATTTGTAAAGGGAAACAATTTTAAAAATATACAAAAAGAAAAAAAAAACAATTTTTGAACAGAATCTTTTATGTAAACCTAAAACAAAATTTTAAAATACTGACAAGAAATCTGGACAAAAATTCTTACTTTAATGACATATTTGGCATAAAGTTAGATTCCATAGAAACTTTGATAACATGAGAATCAGTTGTGGGAAGAACTTCTTTACTTTCTCTGAAATAAAAAGAAAAAATAATCAAAATACTATATTATCCTAACTGTGTCACGAATTTCAGAGCAATGAAACAAGTATTATATGAGAAAGCAATCAAATTATGTAAGGAAAAAATCAAGACATATTCAAGATTTAGCAGTTTCAGAAACTGCTAAATAAGAAGGGAAATACCACAATTCTTCAGCATACTTGTTCATGAAAATTAAAACCTATAAAGAGAACAAACCCTTGTGAGCAAGTCCAAATGTAAGTGTCGCCTTTCGTTTCCGAAAAATAATCTTTTATTCCGAGAATACCAGCAATTTCGAAGCGTTCTGGATGCAACCAAATCTTACACTGCAAAGTTTCATTTTATACCGAATGAATGTAGAAATAAATTAATCTTATTTTGTCCATTCTTATTGAATGAAGGATAAAAAATTTGAGATATACTAGGATTGATTTGCATTTCAATTTGTCACTTTTTGTATACCAAAACATTGAGAATTTTGTTCTTTTTTAATGAGATGGATGGTAGTCAACTAAGAAATATAATCAGAGAAATTAACCCATATAATAAGGTAAACTAATGATGAATGATAAATATAAAGAATACCTCAAGTTGTCGAGAAATATTGACCAAAAGACTTTCACAACCAATTAATGGCACTGGAATAGCTACACCACTAACTCCGTTATATTTCAGTTTTCGAAGAAGCTCTGCTGCTTTTTTTGCTGATGATTGTCTGCTTGGAAATTCCCCATCCGTGAAATCAACGTAAGACGAATCAATGCAAATGAGATCAAATTTTTTCTTAAAAAAACTTGTATAATTTGAATTAACTGGAAGGAAAGAAAAATGTTTCTCAAGCAAGAAGTCATTCAAAACACTAGTTTTTCAGGTTTATGATTCTATAATCATTTGCTTCACTGATCCAGTTTTCTGATTCTATAGTCTTAAAATTTTGCTTCCATATTATCCAACACAATCTTGTTTTTCAGAACTTTGATCCTACCATTTCTGAAATAAATTCTTCGATTCATAAACTTTAAAAGTCATGTAAAGTATCCAAATCCATCTATTTGAAAAATAATAAACAAAAATTTACCTCTTGCAATGCTGATAAACCTATTACATTCCGATAAAATTTTGCATCGGCTCGAAAAAATCCTGTGTACAAGATCCGACGTAGAGTACTGTGATGTTCACGTTCAATGATTAGCATAACAGAGCCAGGTGCATGATTTGCATCTACAAGCATCACCCGAAATCTTTCCATTTTATGCCATACATTCAAATCTAATGGTCGAATCCATTTATCCGAAATTTTATATTTTCTTCCAGTACTTATCACAGATAATAGTTTGGCTGTTATCGGTGAACAACATATTCGATTGCATTGCCATTCACTCTACAAAATCAGATGCAAATTAATCACTGAAAAGTCTCACTAAATGAAAAGTATCAAAATAACTTCACTATATTACATAATCGCTATTTTATTTCGAAATTTCTTTATGGATTTTGCGTATATTCGCTATTTTGATGACTGTTTGAAAATTTTCAAATTAAATTTTCATTTGTTCGGAACAGTAAGCAATGCAGAGCTTATACAAAAAATATTTACTTTTATCGATCATCATACTGATTGATTTTAGTCAATAAACGAAACAAGCAACGAATATAACTGAACAAATTAACAAATTAGGTTAACTTTACTTTGGTATAGTGAAAAAAGAGGTTGTGATATTACGTGTGTTATTTACAATTTCGAATTCGTCTAGAATAAATTTTTTTGAATCAAAATTAAACTTATAGTTAATTTCCGGATATGCCTAGAAGAAATTTCAAAAATTTGAGTCAAACTTACAACTAATTTCCGACATTGACGAGAATGAGCACTGGAAAGGAAACAATATTTGACATCTGGATTAGTACCAAATACGTCTATCGCAATAAAATTGTCAATTATCAAGCCTTCTGGTTCAGTTGAAAAAATCATTCAAACCTCGTTCTACTAAATTCAGTTAATCTTTTTCTCAAATTTTTGCAAACATATCAATAATATCAAATCAACAGTAACTGCCACATGACTGTTTACGGTTAAATAAGATATTGAAGCGTACATTTGAATTCAACCTCTTCCCACTAATATCATTTTAGAAAATTTATCACTGGCAGAAAGAAGTAACAGGTAGAAAGAATAGTTTCAAAGTATTGATGTGCAATTATAGCCAAAAGCAGACAGAAAAATTAGAATTGAAAAAAAAAAAAAAAAAACTGATAACTATTAAGCAGGAGTATCGTCTGAGTTGAACTTGAAATAATTAACAAATATCCTTAGTGGTACCACTCAAAAGCAAAAGTTTTTTTTTTGCTTGTGACGATGAGTGGCTATTTTTTCTCTGTTATAAGGAAAAAGAGAGAGAGAAAAGTAAGAAAGGAAGACATAATAAAAAAAGAAAAAAACAAAAAAAACATGTGCTTAAATCTAAAAATCATAAAATTAAAAATTAACACTTTGTGTTAAATTAAAACAAATTTGAAAATAGAAATGTAAAAAAAAAAAAAAAAAGTAATCGAAGTGAAACACTTATCGTCGTATAATTTATCCTTTTTTTGCTTCCATAAATGATCGTAAATATCTATTCAAACAAGTTAATCATCATAATTTATTCCTACAACTTTCAAAAAATTAAGAATTTTTAAAAAAATTAGAAGTGAAAAAGCAATTTAATCCGTTATATTTTATACATGGGTATATCTATCTAACATGGGTATATTCATCTATATTACATGTACATGGGTATATCTATCTAACATGGGTATATTTATCTATATTACATGTACACGGGTATATCTATCTAACATGGGTATATTTATCTATATTACATGTACATGGGTATATCTATCTAACATGGGTATATTTATCTATATTACATGTACACGGGTATATCTATCTAACATGGGTATATTTATCTATATTACATGTACATGGGTATATTTATCTATATTACATGTACACGGGTATATCTATCTAACATGGGTTTATTTATCTATATTACATGTACACGGGTATATCTATCTAACATGGGTATATTTATCTATATTACATGTACACGGGTATATCTATCTAACATGGGTATATTTATCTATATTACATGTACACGGGTATATCTATCTAACATGGGTATATTTATCTATATTACATGTACACGGGTATATCTATCTAACATGGGTATATTTATCTATATTACATGTACACGGGTATATCTATCTAACATGGGTATATTTATCTATATTACATGTACACGGGTATATCTATCTAACATGGGTATATTTATCTATATTACATGTACACGGGTATATCTATCTAACATGGGTATATTTATCTATATTACATGTACACGGGTATATCTATCTAACATGGGTATATTTATCTATATTACATGTACATGGGTATATTTATCTATATTACATGTACACGGGTATATCTATCTAACATGGGTATATTTATCTATATTACATGTACACGGGTATATCTATCTAACATGGGTATATTTATCTATATTACATGTACACGGGTATATCTATCTAACATGGGTATATTTATCTATATTACATGTACACGGGTATATCTATCTAACATGGGTATATTTATCTATATTACATGTACACGGGTATATCTATCTAACATGGGTATATTTATCTATATTACATGTACACGGGTATATCTATCTAACATGGGTATATTTATCTATATTACATGTACACGGGTATATCTATCTAACATGGGTATATTTATCTATATTACATGTACACGGGTATATCTATCTAACATGGGTTTATTTATCTATATTACATGTACATGGGTATATCTATCTAACATGGGTTTATTTATACATTACATATGTATGCTATAAAAGTTTTTGGAAGACTTTATTTTCTAATTTGTCATAAGGTTTTAATATAAGTAAAATTCTGCTTATAATATATTTTTCATTGTATATATATATATATCACAACATAATAACTTTTCATTTTCGAAATTAAATTTTCAAAATATTAAGAGACGAAAGAGTTGCAAAGAAGAGCCGCAAAGCATTAGGCGTTTTTGTGTTATGACTGATTGGCCGCTTTGAATAAAGTGTTTGTTTTATCTAGTGCTAATCTGAAATGTTATAGAAGATTTGAATGGTTTTGTAAATTTTTCGTATTTGTTAAGTAAAATTATTTTTCATATCAAATATTCTTTTATTGTCAAATATTTCTAAAAAGAAGAAAAGTAATAAAATCCTTTGCTGATATCTTATTGCATTACAGATTATTTGCTTATCTTATCATCATAATCATCATTATCAAATTCATCTATCAATCAATAGTAATAATAACAATAGTACAGCAAATCTAGATGCTTGTAAGGTGCAGAAATATCTGCAATGAAGCACTTGGATAATGGCTGAACAACCAAACGCGGTCATTTGTCCAATACCACTACCTCCTCGAACAGCTCCGCCGGGCGTTATTACCCGTGTACCATCCACTATCACTTCACCAATATCCACCGATAAATATGCTACAAATGCTGCAGCACATTTTGCCCGAAAACTTCAGGTTCATTCTTTCATTTCATTTCGACAGTGCAATTGATATTTCATGTCACAAATGAATTACATTTCGAGAAATATCTTGAATGAACTCCAATTCGAATATGTATGTACAACTTCAAATGGAATTGATGGAATTTTGTTTAGTTTTTGTTGTGGAAAATGATACATAGGAATGATTTTATGTGAGTAAACAAAAAAGAGAGTTATTAAATTAAGTGATCATCACAGTGACTGCGATGTTGAAACAGAATGGAAAACTATAAATGGGACATAAAATTCAGGAATTCAGGGATGAAAATTTTAAGAATTAATATAACAGCAAGATACAGTCTCAACAAGGTTAAACTTCGCTCAAGTTTTTAAACTGAGTAATTTCAAGCAATTCGGTGATGGTATTACATCTGCTTCCAGATTGTACTGGTAATGGATTTGAAGGCTGCAAAAAATATGAAAATACGTGAAATGGCTTGCAGTGATGTTCAGAAGGTTGCGGACTCACTGAATGTTAATTTAACGGTGAGCACGCAATATGCATATGCATAGATTTCCGAGATAAATATATTGAAATAACAAACTTTGTATATATCGATAACTTTAGATTATACCCTTTGCTTTTGAGATGCATATTTTCAAAAAAAAAAAAAAATGAAAATTGAAAAAGGAAATATTAAGGAAATATTTCCTTAAAATAAGTAAGGAAATATTTTTTTAAGCTTGGAAATGATGAATATTACCAAGATTATTCCAGCACTTAGATTTTGATCGTCTTGATTTTGGCGAAACAAATGCACTTGATGTTTTCTACAATGCTGATGTAGCACTGGTTGATGTTTCCATTGCACAGCAACAACCAAGTCTTTGTTATCATATAGGAGTACGTGAATCCATGGGCCAGTCATATAATATCATCCTAACGGAAGAAACTTCTGAATCACTCGTTAAAGCTCTTAAAGTTTGTTTTATATTTATAGATTAAGTGATTTAACCAGTTAAAGTAATTAATTAGATGGCTCACATTTCGTAGGTGGTCTGAACTCGATATTCAGTTTTGTGCCAGATTGACAGTTTGTCTCAATGTTTATTACGGTCGGAAAAAGCCTTTCATTTCTATTATTTTATAAGGAGTATTGAGATACCTCGATATAATTGCAAAAATGCAGTATTTGAACAATATATATATATTTCAGAAAACATTGGCTCACTTACCGCTAATAGCATACATTTTACCAAATGACAGTTCATCATTGGTTTCGGTTGATAAAACGTCAAAGATTGACAGTTTGTCTCAACTTAAAAGTGGTATTGATCAAATAGCTGAAAAGGTACTGTTTTGTTCTGGATTTTAGGAATTCTGAAAATTTATTTCTTCCTCTTTAGTTTTATCTCAACTGAGTTGACTTTGAATTACTGCTGTGAGTTAATACCATGCGAAGAAGGTTCCCATTAAGTCACTGAAGCATGTTTTCCGCAGTAATGGGTTTTTTAGAGGACCCCAACGTGTCTTTTTTTTTAGGAATGTTTGCTCTACCAGTTACCAAACTATCCTGGCTTCATTCACTACATTGTTTTAAAAACAAGTTAAGCAATTAGTATAGATGGGAATGTAATTTTATGTCAAATATGAAAATTTTCAGAGTCGTTATTCGGTTAATTTTCAGCCACATAGCAAATGCGGGCGTCTGGTAACATTCCGTTCACGAATGAAACAGGCCTTGAAAAGTGTCCAAATTGAAGCTTCAGCACATTCACGTGAGAAATTCTTGTCTGATCTTCGAAAGGCACGTGAAACGCAAGATGTTGCTGAAGCTAACCGCTTCCTCGATAAAATGAGACATCGGCTAGATAATCCGGATGTATTAAGTGTTGACACACTTTATCAGTTCATGCTAAGTTATAGGTAAATTTGATTAATAATTTTTAGAATTGCTACTTTTTTGATCGTTATATTTTTGCCATATTCAGTTGCTTTTACCAAATTTTCATGATTATTTTTGCTGATGCAGACATCCAATGCAAAAAGCTTTTGTATTAATGCAATTGGTTGTTAGAAAAGTTTCAAAGCTTTCTGCAAAAGACCTGCAATATCAGCTTGCTTCATCATAGTTCTCATCATCTAGTAGCAGTATCAATCTTAACACAAATGTTATCATCAATTTTATTTTACCTTTTGCATTCTTACATCATAATAAGATATCCTTATTTAATTTTAAGGACAATTACTGTCGTCATGTGGAATAATGTAAAGTTTGATCCAGTATTAGCTGGCATGAAAGCATACCATGAAAAAATGTAAAAAAGTACTCTTATTTTGCGACCACTATAACCCAGCCGCAAATTGCATTTTCATTAAGAAGTTTCAGAGATTATCAAAATTACGATGCGATGATAAGTC